ACTGGAATTACTACATCAAAAGGTATGAACATTTTTAACACTCAGTATATATTACCAAATTTCTTCCCAGAAAGGTTTTACCAATTTTTCCTAACATAAGTATTCAATATTTTTTTAAAAAACTTTTAAAATGAATAAAAACCATTTTTTCTTTTTTTTGGTTATTAGTGAGATTGAATTAGTTTTTCCTCTGTTTCTGAATTTTATTTTCATGTGATGATGGTTGGTATCTTACTGATTTATCTGTTGGAGTTTTAAGTTTAGTGATTATTGTTATCTTATAGAATGTTCTATAAAGAGAGACTTCAGATTTCTGTAATGTGAATACCTACTTGAGGTTACTGTTTGCCTTTTCATTTTTTAAAAATTTTTGATTAGTAGAGATTTGAAACCATGGTCAAATCTATCTCCAGGTTTTGTTAATTTTCTTGTATTTGAATAGTTCCCTCAATCAAGAAATTTGGCAAATAATCATTGTAGCTTTGCCTGAGGATAACCATCCAGTAAGGGGGAAAAAGATCCATAATTTCACCACCCAGAGATAACCATTGTTAGTAAATGTATTGCTTTTCATTGTCTTTGCATTTTCCCATATATATGCATGTATTTTTAGTACATTTTGTGTTTAACATAATATGTGTATTTCCATGTTGAACATTCTGTATAATTGTCATTTAATGGTCTCATAATTCTGTAATGTGAAAAAATTTTTCAGTATTTTTAATTATGTAATGAGTGTCTTTTCATTTAGTTTTTTTCTGTTTCTTCATAAACTAGAGTTCCAAAATTGGAATTATTCATCAAAGGTTTGAACACTATAAATACCCTAATTGCATTAATCTTTGCATCCAGTTATTTAAGCACTTAAATTTTGTTCATTTTTGCTGACTTGATATGTAAAACAATGATCTTTATTTAGATACATTTCTCTGATTACTGTTGAGGCTGGACTTTCAATTTTTTTTTTTTTTTTGGTGGAACTGCAGTTTGAACTCAGGGCTTCCTGCTTGCAAAGTAGGCACGTCAGGGCTTGAACCACCCCTCCAGTCCATTTGCTCTGGTAATTTCATTTTTTTAATATTTTGGTGGGACTGAGGTTTAAGTTCAGGGCTTCACATTTGTAAAGCAGGCACTTTACCACTTCAGCCACACCTCCAGTACATTTTGTTCCGGTTATTTTGGAGATGGGGGTCTTGAACTATTTGCCCTGGCTGGCTGCAGACCTCTATCCTCCCAATCTCAGCCTCCCAAATAACTAGGATTATAAGTGTTAGCCACCTTGCCTGGCTGGACTTTCCTATCTTTCTTGCCTTTTTGGTGCTAGGTATTGATCCCAGGGCCTCTCTTCCTATTTTAATTATTAGTTATCATTTCATTTTTTGAAATATTTGATTTGGGCCTGAATGTTACCTATTTGTAATGACAAATGTCACTTTTTGCAAATATAATCTTTGTATGTGTGTGTTGCCATTGAGTCTGAACAAATGTTTATGATTCTGAAGACAGCTGCTATGTGGGATACATGTCAGGTTCTTGGTGGCTGTTTTGAAATAACATGTATCTTTTAAAGAGGAATCCATTTTTATCTAAAAGGAAACTTCCTACTCCTCTCCCCCTTTTATTTATTTATTTATTTTGAGACAGGGTCTTCCTGTATAGCCCAGGCTGGTGTCCAACTTGGGATTTTCCTGTCTCAGCCTCCCAAATGCAGGGATTACAGCTGTACACGATCATGCTCGGCCCAGGAAAATGCTTTTGAGTGCTACACAGAAGTGGCACTCCCTTGCTCTGAGTGTTTATGAGAAAACATGGCAACATTTTGCAGTACTGGGGTTTGAACTCAGGGCCTACACCTTGAGCCACTCCACCAGTCCTTTTTCATGATGGGCTTTTTTGAAATTGGGTCTCGAGAACTATTTGCCTGGGTTGGCTTCAATCCTCCTATCTCTGCCTCCTGAGTAGCTAGGATTACAGATGTGAGCCACCATTGCCCGGCCATGGAAACATTTTGTTCCTAACAATTCAGCCAGCTTAGACAAGAAACAAAACAGTAGTCTCTTCTCATCTATTCATGTATTGGTTTTACTTGAACTAATTGTGAGTGATTTGAGGAAGCTTATGGTCAATAGTGAAATGTCCACATTTATAATGTGGCATGTTAATAGGAACAAACTGCAACACCTGAGAAGGTAGTGAGCAGGCTGGCAGTTGGCAGAATGAACAGTGTAGGCAAGAGCAGTGAAATGACTAGAGCAAGATGGAATGTTGGGCTTATAAAATAGTGGCCTTAGCAAGAGTCTCAGTGTCACTGCCAACAATCCAAGTTTGCTGAAGCAAAGATAAAAGAGTCACTAAAAACCTAGGCCTTACTAAGAATGGTATGGGACACAGGAAATTTCCATTCTGTCTTTGTCATAAAACCATCTGAACCACCAAAATAACTTTTTTTTTTGGTGGGCTGGGGTTTGAACTCAGGTTCCCAAATAACTTTTTTTAGAATAACAAAATACTGGGCCAGAGGCATGACTCAGGCAGTAGAGCATCTACCTTGCAAGTGTGAAGCCCTGAGTTCAAACCTTAGTATTTAAAAAAAAAAAAGAAAATATTAAAACATAAGATTTTAGGTCTAAAATGATAAAAGGACACTGGGGTTATGACTGGAACCAGAGGGACATAAGAAGATCAAAGTGTGTTCCACCAGGGCTGGGGGCATGGCTGAAGTGGTAGAGCACTGCCTAGCAAGTGCAAGGTCCTGAGTTCAAACCCAGTACCAAAGGGGGGTGGGGGTGGAACACCAAATAGTGTTTTTTAAAGGGAGGGAGAGGGGTTAAGGGGATATAATAGAAGGGTGACCCTGCTGAAAGTACACTGTGCATATATGCGATTTTTGGAATCCTAAATAAAAACTTTTTAAAAAACTATGGAACGTTTCATGAATTTGTGTGTCATTCTTCAACAGGACCATGCTAATCTTCTCTGTATTATTCCAATTTATGTGCTGCCAAAGTGAGCGTAAAAAAGTTGTTTTAAATAGTAAGATTGACAGAAGTTTCCAGAGAAACCTCACAAAATGGTCACAAGCTTTTATTGATCGGAGGAATCTGCACTTGACAGCAAAGTCATAATGTTATTAGTTCCCATTTTGATTCAAACAAACTTGTCCATCTACATCATCTAAATAAAATTAGACTTGGTTAGAGAACATATTCTACAGAACTGACCTAATTAGATCACTGTAGAAGGGGGTGCTGGTGGGAGGAGCCCATAAAATTAAAACTGTCTTCCCCCTCAAAAAAACAAAACAAAACAAAAAAACACTCATACTCCTGCAGCTGATCCTGACAACTACTTCGCAGTACTTTGTATTTAAACCGTGCAGGGGAAAGTGAATAAAGCCATTTTTAAACGTTTCCCAACAATCAGATCTCCTAGCCTCTGCTCATGCTTTACAATAAATAGCAAGTCAGGACAAGACAGATTTGCTAATGTGCATTTAATCACTGATGTCTGGGATTTTATTCTGTAATGTTTCTAAACCTGTGCTCACTAATTGCAAACAAAAGTCTCGACAGAAGTGATGCGCTCTTGATTGAATCTACTAAAATGTTACTTGTTGCTTTTAGCCCAGTCTGTGCTCTTGTTCTAGGGGTTTTTTGTTGTTTTTTTGTTTTTTGATGTTCCAGTGCCCAGCTACTTGGATCCATAGCAAAACTGCGTGAATCTGCAGTGTGGGGCCACTTTCCTCTCATAATACCTAAACATATTCTTCCCAACTGATACATTGGAATGGGTAATTTCGATTATGGAAAGTATTTTGGGTGCTGCCACTGGGTATTCTTTTGGAAGGAATATTTTAAAATTAAAAGTCCTTCCCTCAAAGGGGAATTCTGGGGGTCAATAATAATCATACAAAAATAAAGGGGCTTCGCTCTCATCTGGTTCTGCGAACAAACGCTCGGTTTTCCTTAATGATCCGGGAAGCCCGGCCATTTTGTCAGAGCCTCTTTGGCGCCAGTTCGCCTCTCCAGTCTCATTCCTAGGACAGAAGTGGAAGCCTCGGCTCCACTTCCGGGGGAAGTCCAGGGCCCCTGGGAAATGTAGTCCCGCCCCGGGGCTCGGGCTCACTTCCCTCCAAACTGGCGCCTTCTGTGCTTCCCGCCTTAGCCCCTGACACAGTGGCGGAAGTATGTGGCTAGGCAGGACGCGGAGGTGGCGTGCAGAGCTCCAGCAGAGAGGCCCAGCCTGCGAGGCACTGTGGGACTCCCCAATAACTTCACAGTGGTGATCTCTCTTCCATGTATCTCTTACTGTCACCCAAAGTTTCAAAAAAGGGAGCGGGAAGTGTGTGCTACCTCTTTCATTCTTGTTTGTAATATTTAGGTTAATTAGATATTGGCAAAAGATCTTGTGTGTATGGGGGGGGGTCTCCTGGTTTCCTGAAACCCAGCCTTATTTCTGGTTATATAGTCTATTTAATTACCTTTTTTAAATAAACTCTTCTACCTAATACTCCTACTCTGTTTATTATCTATCTTATATTTAGTAACATTTTAATTTTTTCAGCAAAGGGTGGGAATTATTCAACTTAGAGGTGTCAAATGAGCTAAATTGCTTTTAGGTGTCTAGGACCGGGCTAATTCAGTTAGTTGTGAGCTTCTATTTTCAGCATCTTTCTAGCTGTAGATACTAAACCGGGCATTTATGTGTGGTATGTTGGGGAGGTGGAGAGAGTTAGAAGCAAAAGGCAAAAAAAAAAAAGTCTTGTTTTAGAAAAGTTGGTTGAAAATGTCCTTTTTGTGGCGGTCTGTGCCTATCTTAAGCATGGCAGCTTAACTTTACGTCATACCAATCAATGCCTGCTTCCCAAACCTTGTATGATCAAGGGTTAGAGAGAGCGTGGTTATTTGAAATAGCTGAAAGCATTTAACCTTTGATTAATGTAATTTGTTCTTGTCTCCCCCCCCAACCCCCCACCCCACGCACCCCCACCCCCTGCCTTTTGTAGCACAGAAGTGTGGAGTGCCTGCTTAGCAAACTGGAAGCTCTGAGTTCATAACCCCAATCCCACCAAAAAAGAGAGAAATGCTTTGATTGGCTATGGGATTGAAATTGATTTTTTGGGGGAGGAGGTACTGGGGTTTGAATTCAGGGCCTTATGCTTGCTAGATAGGTGCTCTACCACTTGAGGTGTTCCACCAGCCCCTTAAATTTTATTTTATTTTATTTTTTGGCGGTACTGGAGTATGAACTCAGGGTCTTGTGCTTAGTAGACAAGTATTCTTATGATTTGAGCCACCCCACCAGCACTCTTTCTCTCTCGATGTTACAGCCACTAGGAGCCTGGAGCAGCAACCCCTGAAATTTTACATTGGCCATTATAATACAACTTGGTAAGTGTTACAGCACTTAATCAGATTGTATTGTAATTGTCTGTGTATATGCCTGTCTCTCTTCCTGTGTTATTAGACTGTGACCTCCTTGACAGCTGGGATGATGTCTTTATTTCTAGAGTCCAGCCTGACATGTTAGTAGGCCTTAACAAATGTTTATTGGATGAATAAATGAGTGAGCCCCCAACAAACATTTATTGTGTGCCTGCCAAAGTGATCTCCACAGGTTCTGGACTGTCAACTGTTTCTTCAAAATGTATCTTATCAGAAACTTGCTTTTTTTTCTAGTTACATGTTTTCTCAAGGTTTCTCATGAGACAATGCTATTTTTTTGTGTTTGTGTTTCAGTCCTTGGTAGTCCTTGAGATGTTGTTACTGTCAGTGCTGCTGACATTTGCTTCCTTGGTGGGACTAGGGTGATAGTTGCTAGATCTGAGCATCATCCTCATGGCCCAGTGTTTCATCTATTTTTCACTCTTCCCTAAGACATTCTCCAAATAGTATTCCTGCATAGGACTCCACATTTTAGATTGGGGGTGAGCAAACCCTGCAACCCCTGGGCTGCCCAGTTTTGCAAATAAAGTTCCATTGGAACACAGCCGTGCTCATTCCTTGATGTTTTGTCTGAGTCTTAGGAAAAGCCTTTACAGAAAAAGTTTGCTGACCCTATTCTGGATCATCATTCAACAGTGATGGCTTCATTACCCACTTCATTCATCAGAGTTCCTTTTAGCATTTTGGAAACTCACTTGGGGGCTGTAAGTGCGGCTCAAGTGGTAGAGCACACCTGTCTAGTGATTGTGAAGCCCTGGATTCAAATCCCAGTACCACTCCCCCACAAAAATACCTCTCATATGTACTTCATTTGTTATTGCTTGTGATAAGTCTTTTTATTCTATAGAGGAGGCAGCTAGGATAAATTTTAAGCTAGTAGATTATAAAGCCTTCTCAGGGGCCTGAAGTCAGTTATACCATATCCTTCAGTTTTGGACTTGAACTCTAGAAACTCCTTTTTATTGTATCCTCACTTGAAACACATGGACATGGCATTCCTTGGTGCCTCCTCCCTTGCCCCTCTCCTGCCTGCAATGAGAATATGGGAAATGAGGAGTTAGTGTGGGATAAGGCAGAAAAAGAAAGAGAGGCAAATGTTTAGTGGGTTTTTTTTTTTTTTCTTGCAGTGCTAGAAACGAACCTAGGGCCTTACACATGCTAGACAGGCACTGAACTCCCCAGCTCTCATTCAGAGGGTTCTACTTTTTAAGTGAAGCGTAATTTCTGAGATACTCACTTTTTTAGACTTATTCGATAGCCAAACTGGGTTTCAGAGAGTGTAGAGCCTCTGCTCTAGCCTCTGTACTATCTTGGTAACCTGCCTAGGTACCTTGAGATTGATTTTACTTCATTAAAAAGTAAAAGACCTCCAAGTGAGATGCAAGAATGCTAAAAGTTAAAAAATAACCCTGTCCTGGGGGAATACCTCAGTGATAGGGCATGGGCAAGGCCCTGGGTTATATCCATAGCAGCACCAAAAATAAAAAAAAAAAAAAGGAAACACACACACAAAATTAGGGGTTGCAGGTGTAGCTCAGTAGTAAAGCACTGTCCTTTAACTTGTACAAGGCCCTGGGGTAAATCTCCCGTACCAAAATAAAACAACAAAACCACGATAGAGAGATTGTTGCTCATTACATCAGATGAACTCATTCTATGAGTAAAATGGAGGGACAGGCCTTACAGTGTTATTTTTCAAGCTGCTTGCTGGATTTCCCCCAGCTTTTTATTGTAAAAGTTTTCAAAGTTTTAATAAAAAAGTTGAAAGAAATGTATAATGAAAAGCCATATGCCCTCCACTTAGATTTGTGATGAGCATTTTATATTTGCTTTATTATATTTACTCATCTTTGTTGGATAGATTTTAAAAATACCACTGTCATCCTTTTTTTTGGGGGGGCGAGGGTGGGACTGGAGTTTGAACTCAGGGCTTTATGCTTGCAAAGCGGGCACTCATCCTGCTTTAGCCATTGCTGAATTGCTAGATTTTTTTGTTGTTGTTGTTGCTTTTCATACTAAGCAGCTAGGGACTGGAAACATACAAGCCATATACTATTTCCTTAGAAAGAAAAAAGGATCCTTGGGAATCTGGCTTTTCCTGTGTGGTCCCACTTCTCAGAGCTATTCTCCCTTGATCTTGGAGGTAGAGGACTAGCTACTGGCCTTCCTAGCTCCTTGTGATCCTTTTGATAACCCAGACAGCCAGGTATTTCTTTTCACTTATGTAAGTAGTGACTCCTGGTGGGAACTGAAATTGCAAATGACAGGGCTTAGTTCAGAGCCCAGAGTTTTGTTGCCTGTTGTCCTCAGTGAGGTACAGATGCCATCTGCTAATGACAACTAGATGAAGGTTTTTTACCTTTTGAGGGCTGTTTCGGTCAGGAGTATGGAATGTAGGTTGATAAACTTGCAGACTTAACACGTGAAAGAAAGCTTACTCCCTATTCAAAGATTGGGATATTGAAGTTCAAAGAGGGGAAAGGCTTGAAGGGAATTAGGAAGGTCAATAATATCAGAGTTCATATCATAGTTCTGACATTTTAGTATAGTCACTTGGTGCCACTCCACCCAAGTAAACCTCTGTTTTTTGTTTTGTTTTGTTTTTCTTTACAGTACTGGGAATGGAACCTATGGCCTTATGAACAGTGTCCACCAGCAAGACCGCTATCACTGGGTTGCATGCCCAGCCATTGGTTGTTTTGTTTTGTTTTTTAAACTGAGTTGTTATGTAGCTCAGGCTGGTCTTGAACTTGCTATGTAGGTCAGGTTACTTTGCCTCCCCAGAACAAGGGATTATAGGTATATAACGCCATGCCCAGCCCAAGTTAACATCATTTGGAATGGTAGCACGAGTCCTTAAAACAGTAATTATAGGCCTTGTCACAGCCTTTGCCAGATAAGGAACATAATCATGGTGCTACTGTGAATGCTTAGCATGAGTGAAATCTAAGGTCCATGGTATGGCTGGGTAGATAGCTAGGGTGATAAAAATAAAATTAAAGCTAAATTTCAAACCTCAACTGTTCCATCTTACATTTGTTGCTTTCTTCTTGTCGTACAGGTGATATCACATGCCATCAGGAACCATGCCACTTGCAAGGACTGAGCTGCCTGGTCCAGTGAGGTTATTAGAGAATTGAAAAAGGATCAAATAAGCATCCTGCATATGGTTTTCCAGTCATCGTGAAGTCTTAGTAAGTGATCACTGGCTTTGTGGGAAGCACCAGGGAAGGTAGTCTTAATAGATATATTTTACCATTATGAACAGGTTAAAATATTCAGGCTGTAGTAAAGAATAAAGAACCTAGCCTTCTTTTTCCATTCTCCCATTTCTACAAATAGGAGAATTGGAAAATGCCCAAGATTATAGCTAGTTGGGATAGCAAATACATTTGAATCGAATCCAGTACTGTGTCTTCTACCCATTCACTAATCTATATTCTATCCAAATCCAAGGAGGACATGTAAGACAGAAATGATTTATTTCGGGGGTGGGGGGATGGAAGAGAATGGTGGAGGGTATAATATATTTGATATATATTGTAAGAACTTTTATAAATGCCACAGTGTACCCCCACCCAACACAACAACAACATCAAAAAAGAAATGATATATTTCACACTAAAAGATTTTTGTAAGAGCTTCTGAGAAATTTCCTTGCTGTAAAATTTTAATATGTATAAAATCACCTGGGGTACTTGTTAAACATGCAGATTCCTTGTCTTTGATCAAGAACAACTTTTAAGATTTGCCTGTTGTATTTACTAAGGTTACCTGCTTAGTGAGTTCACCAGAGTCCCAGGATAAATTACTGTTGTCATTGATGGCCTTGTGAAGCAGTTGGGAAGCCTTGGTAAGTTGTCATTACTTTTGGTGAGTATCCCCAATTGGTGATAGAGAAAGGAAAATGATCTCAATGTGGCACTTCCACAACCTTCCTTGAAAAGATCGTTATTAAGTACTAAAAGCCAGAGACTGACCTAGACATTAACAGAGTTCTGCTGTTATAGAATTTTTATTTTTGTAAGGTGGGACAAAGGAATAAATAACTAGTAAGTGTATAATGTATGATAAGTGTTATATTGAATTTCTTCCTATTATATGGAAATTTACATTTAAAACAACTCAGTTAACTTAAGCAATATCTTGTGCTTTGCTCCCTGCTTCTCACTCCCTTTTAATGCCTGGCACTGTCTTAATGGAGGCTGAGTGTGGGGAAGGTCACAGATGATGCAGACAGTCTTCTTCCTTTTTGTAACTTCTCATTAGGCTGGATTGTGAAGAATATCTTTTCTTATTTTTTTCTTTTTTTCTTTTTTTGGATGCTGGGAATCAAACGTAGGACCTTGTGAATGCTATGCAAGCACTCTACTTTTGAGCTACATTTCTGGCTCTGTGAAAGATATCTTTGAAAAGTGTTTTAGAGTCTGTCAGATCTTCTATGTGAGTGACTGCAAACAGAAGAGGAGTGGGGTACTGTCAGTGATTAAGGTAACACAGTGAATAATCAGGTAAGTAGGTATGCCATTTCCAGAGCACAAGTGACAGACCAGTAGTTTCAGAGCCTGCTACTTTATAATATATCCTTCTCAAAATACTTTGGGTAGACAAAGGATTTGTTGGAATACAATCATCCTCCTTTATTGTTGTCTGTGGCTTTTTGTGCTACAGTGAAGTTGAATAGTTGGGACAGAGACTGTATTGTCCTGAGTCTGAAGTATTTGCTAACTCCTGACATAGGTTAAATGTGCCATGTCCACAAATCCTATTCCCATTTTCTTTTTATGGGACTTATCTTTCCAGCTGATCTTAGAATGTATGAAATCAGTTTGTTTCATACATTCTTAGAATGTATGAAATCAGTATGTTTCTGAATTTCTTTCCCCCAACTTTAAGCTCACCAAGAGAATACATGCATAAATTGGGCTATGTATCCAGACGAAACTGTTTTATATGCCTCATTGTAGTTGACTCATTTATTCTTTATGGTTCTCCCATTTCTTGCTTTTTCTCCCTCCCTCCCTCCCTCCCTGCCTTCCTTCCTTCCTGTACTTGGGTTTGAACTTAGGGCCTACACCTTGAGCCACTCTACCACCCCTTTTTTGTATTGGGTTTTTTTTTTTTTTTTTTGAGATAGTGTCTCACAAATTATTTGCCTAGGCTGGCTTTGAACTGTGATCCTCCTGATCTCTGCCTCCTGAGTAGCTAGGATTGCAGGCATAAGCCACCAGTGCCCAGCTCTTTCTTTTTTGACAGTATTGAGATTTAAACTCAGGGTCCTGCGCTTGCTAGGTAGATATTCTACCACTTGAGCCACACCTCCAGCCCTTTTTTCGCTTTAGTTATTTTTCCAGGTAGGGTATTGTGTTTTTGCTCAGAGCTGGCCTTGGACCTACTGCCTGCATAGGTGGGACCACAGGTGCATGGCACCATACCTGGCTTCTTGATGGAGATGGAGTCTTCCGCTTTTTTTGGCCTGGACTGGCCTTGAACTGAAATTCTCCCAATTGCTGCTTCTCAAGTACTGGGATTATAGGCATGAATCACCACACACAGCTCTTCCTTCTTTAAAATTCAGTCATTTATGAGTATCCAAAAGATTGTAACTTATGTTTCCTAATTTTAACCTTACCCTGATTTTAATATGCTCTCCTCTCATCCCTGGCTTTTCTGCATATTTCTGCACATGCTTTGGCCTTTCTGGGAAATAAGCCACCATGGAAGGATACTTTTCCATTGTCCTCTTTCAGGTTAATTTTGTGACATTTAGCTTCTTGTTAATTTGATCCATTTATTGAACATCTACTATGAGCCTTATACACTCTCACTGAATCTTTACCAAAAAAACCAGAGAATTGTGTGTTAATCATTTAGTCTTCACCTCAAAGATGAGTCTTAGAAATGAGCAACTTTCTCTCATTCATGGTGTAGTTTGGATTATGTTTTGTTTTGTGGTGTTGGGGATCAGATCAAGGGCCTTGCACATGCTAGGTAACTGTGTGCAAGCTACATCCACTGAGCTACATCCCCATTGAGTTTTTTTCCTTATGTTGCCAAGGCTGGGCTAGAACTCTTGAGCTCAAGTAATTGCATCCTCTTGCCTCCCCAGTTCTGGAACTACAAGTGCATACCACTGCACTCTGTTTGTTTTGGATCTTAGATGTCTCCCAAACATTCATTTGCTAAAGGCTTGGTGAGCCACTGGTGCCTATCCCCAGAAATAAATAAAATAAATGCATACATACATATATACATACTTGGTTCCCAGCTGTGGCATTATTGAGACATGGTGGAACCTTTAGGAGGTATGCCCTAGTGGAAGGAATTTAGGTCATTGAGGACATGCCCTTTTAGGAGATATTGGGACCCTGGATCCTCTTTACTTTCTTTGCTTCCTGGTCACCATAAGGTGAGTAACTTTGCTCCCCTATATGCTCCCTGTCCCCTGATGTTCTCTTGCCACAGGCCCAAAGCAATAGCTTGGACTGAAACTGTGAGCCAAAATAAATCGTTTCTTCTTTTAGTTGTTTATCTGAAGTATATTGTCACAGTAGTGGAAATGTGACTAACACAGTCACATTACCAATTAGTGGTGGAACTTGGATTTGAGAGTATAATTCATGTAAGTATTCTTGAAGGTTGTTTTTGTTTTGTTTTGTTTTTTGTGGGATTGGGTTTGAACACTGGGCTTTGTGCTTGCAAAGCAGTTGCTGTACAGCTTGAGCCACACCTTCATTCCATTTTGCTTTGGTTATTTTGGAAATGGAGTCTCTACAACTATTTGCCTGGGCTGGCTTCAAACTGTGATCCACCTATTCTCAGCCTCTTAAATAGCTAGGATTACAGGCATGAGTCTCACTGGTGCCTGCCTTTATTTTTCTTTTTAAATCTTAGAATTTGGCCCTTGAGGGTGAATATGGTGCAAACATTATGTACTCATGTATGAAAATGGAACAATGAGACCTGTTGAAACTATTCTAAGAAGGAGGGGATAAAAGGGAATGATGGAGAGAGTAAATCTAACTAAGATATATTGTAAGTATTTTTGTAAATGTCACAGTGTACCCCCAGTACAACAATCATAAGATAATAAAAAAATTTGACAGGCACTGGTGGCTCGTGCTTATAATCCTAGCTACTTAGGAGGTAGTGATCAGGAGGATTGGTTCGAAGCCAGCTTGAGCAAATAGTTCACGAGACCCTATCTTGAAAAAACCCATCACAAAAAGGGGCTGGTGGAGTGGCTCAAGTGGTAAGAGCACCTGAGGCCCTGAGTTCAAACCTCAGTGCTGCCCTCCCCCTCCCCCATTAAAAAAAAATTTGTCCCTTACTGAGCATAGAATAACAAAATATAATACCTGAACCAGGGGGGAAAAAAGTCCTTGAGTCCTTTAGGAAAGTTTCATGGTGTACAAAGAGAAATGCTCGCTGGAGTCAGGAGTCAGAAAGCCAGTTTTGATCACAATCTCTACACATCCATTCCTTTATCATTTTCTAGCTACTGTATGTAGTAATGGCCATCCCTTCTGTATTTGCTCAGTGACATAGGTGTGAATTGGTAATGCTGTTCTAGCTGAAACTCTTCAAAGCAGTTTCTCCTTTCTGCTTTGTATCCAAGGACAACTCTACATATTGCCTTTCTAGGACCCTTCCCTTGTGTCTTAATCTGTTCAAGGCAGATGAGGCCTTTAAATAGTAAATAGGCCTTTGTGCTCAATGGCCCTAGATCTAGAGCATTTTTAGTCTTAATAGCTACTGATTTGGGGATGATTGGGCTTCTGTGGGAATTGAAACCTCTAAGAATTTTTGTTATTTTTAGACCCTCCCCTTCGTTTTTGTACCCCAAGGAGGCCTTGAATTTGTGATCACCTCTTGAGTTGCTGGAATTACAGGCATTTGCCACCACAACTGGCTCCTTTTTTTTTTTTTTTTTTTTTGAGGTAGGATCTTGGTACTTTGCCCAGGCTGGCCTCCAACTTCTAGGTTTAAGCAATCCTTTTGCCCTAGTCTTTTGGATAGCTGGCACTACAGGTGCATGCTCTGCAGCTGACTAACTTCTTAGAATTTTAATGCTAGGTGGAGGCTGATAAATAGTGATAGGAAGAATTCCTAGCACAGGCATATCAGTGTTAGGGTAAATCATGGTACCACTCTAGTGGACATCTGAATGTGACCATTGTTTTTATAGCATGGTCTTAAAATATATGACTGACACAATGGCCTACCACAGAGAAATGAGCCATAAAAAGGCCTTGTAAAAGCAGGGTGCTTTGTTTTAGGACAGCTAAATACATGACACTTGGAGAATTTCAAAGAATGCAAAGCCTCTGTGTGTGTGTGTGTGTGTGTGTGTGTGTGTGTATTTTACCAGGGCATCATGCTTACTAGGCAGGTACTCTACAATTTGAGCTGTTATGCCCCAGTCTTTTTTATTTTTAGTGTTTTCAGGTAGGATTTTGCGGGCTTTTTAGGTTGACCTCAGACCTCCATCCTTCTACCTATACCTCCCGAGTAGCTGGGATTATAGTGGACATCACTATACCTGGCTTTTATTTATTTATTTTTTTTGGTGGTGCTAGGGTTTGAACTCAGGGCTTCACACTTGCAAAGCAGGTGTTTTGCTGCTTGAGCCACACTGCCAGTTCTGGTACTGGCGTTTGCCCTGGGTTACAGGGCCTTGCACTTGATAGGTGCTCTACCGTTTTGAGTCATGCCCCCAGCCCTGCCTGGCTTATTTTTGAGATATGGTCTTAATGACTTTTTGCTTGGGTTGACCTTGAACTTCTTCACTTGACCCAAGTAAGGCCTTCTTGATTGCACTCTCCTGTATCCAGTGGAATAGAATTCATCATTGGCCTTTCCATCTTCAGGGGAATATAATCAATAAGGCCTTGTAGTCCAGACCAGTACATGGCAAGACCCTATCTCAAAAAGACCAAAAAAAGAAAAAAAAGAAGGCCTTGCATTCTTTGAAATTCCTCAGATGGGGTTATATGGAACACACAAGTGGTTCCCAAGTGATGTGCAAAATGGTTATGTGTAGTGATAGCCTCACTGGAAACTCCTAGAGCCTCTCTCCCAGGTACAAAGGTCCGTTTCATTCCTGAAACCATCTTAAGAATTGATGAGACCTTCACTTCTCTCCTGATCCATGGAAGAACATTCTTAAACTAGGCTCTGGAAGGGTTGGTGACTAGGACATATTCACCAAGGATGAGTCAGACCCAGACAAAGTGGGCCCCTTATAGTGCCTAAGGAGAAAACATTCCATTTTATGGAAAAACCTTTTGCTTCTTTTCCTCCCTCTCTCCCTCCCTTTTTCCCTCCTTCCCTCTCTTCCTTGACAGGGCTTGCTGTGTAGCCCAACCTGGCCTCAAATTTAGCCTAATCAGTGCTGGGATTACAGACATATACCACCATGCTCAACTACTTTCTTAATCCTGTTGCACAAGCAAGAACCATCTTCTTACTTACTCTGCTTTCTTTTCTCCTTCCGTGGTCACATTGTCCATCTTTCTCTTTGTCGTAGTCACACCCTATTTCTAATCCTTTTTTTTCCCTTCTTAAGCCCTTACTATACTCCTCAGTTAAAAGTCTGGGGCAGTGGTATCTGTCCAGGGTATGGGATGCATACAGCAGGTTTTTGTTTTATTTTTTAATGAGTATTTCATGATTATGTGTATAAAGAATTTACTGTATAAAAAATGAAAACAGCAAAACAGTAGTATTCAGAAGGAAATAAGAATTATTTACAATGTGACAATTCAACCATGTATTAATTTTAGTCTTATCCATTTCTTCTATATACAAACATACTTCTATTCTTTTCATTTTATTTATTTTTCATTTTTATTAGCCTATATTCATTGTACAGGGGGATTCACTGTGCCAATTCCCAATAGCCTTACATTGTACATTGGTTAGATTGCCCCCACCATCTCCCCCAACAAACATACTTTTAGATTTTAAAAAAATTCTTTAAATGTTGATTTTAAATATGACTCTTAAGTGTACTTTGCTGATTATTTTCTATTTGTTTTGTGGCCATACTGGAGGTTGGCTATACTGGAGGTTGCTAGGTAAGCGCTCTACTGTTTGAGCTATTCCCAGCTCTTTTATTTTGTTTTTAAGGTATGGTCTTAACTTCCCAAATTGGTCTCAAACTCTCAATCCACCTGCTTCTACCTCCCCAGTAGCTGGATTAAAGGCATATACTACTTCACCTGGCTGAACAACCCTAATCTGAAATCCAAAATGCTTTTCAGAGCATTTTATATTTTTTATTTTTATTTTTGGATTAAGGATGCTCTCAACCTTTTCTAGGATCTTGTAGATTCTGTGAAATCTACAGGTAAAGAACATTGTGAAGATTATCATTTCCTAAGCAACCGTTTGTGAGCTAACACATATATTTTGTTATTTCTCTCAGGCATTATTGGTTCAAATCACTCAGTGTTCTTTCCCTCACACCAGATCATCATATTGTATTCTGACTTGACTACTTAATTCAGTTTATTAGGAATAGTCTTTTTTTTTTTTTCCCCAGTACTGGGTCTTGAACTCAGGGCCTATACCTTGAGCCACTCCACCAGCCCTTTTTTGTGATGGGTTTTTTCAAGATAGGGTCTTGCAGAACTATTTGCTCTGTGTGCATTCGAACCTCGATCCTCCTGATCGCTGCCTCCTCAGTAGCTAGGATTATAGGCGAGAGCCACCGGCCCCCAATGATATTCTCAATTATTTGGCAGACAGTTATGAATGTAAATTTCCTTCATTCTGCTAGGCCTAGGTTTTCCGCTAGGTCTAGATTTTTTTCCAGTTGTTACATAAAAGGGGTACTTTATGGCACGTGCTGGAAACTTTCCATATAAGGCCAGGTAAGTCCCACTCAACTCCGTAGCATGAAAGCAGCCACAGACAATATAAAAATAAAGGGACATGATTGTATTCTGATAAAATTTCATTAGAGAAACAGGCAGTAGGCTGGATTTGGGCCATAGGCCATAGCATGCTGATCCCTGCTCTTAAGTATGTATACGTAGAGACTTTAGAACAGAAAGATTTATACAGTAAAGTAAATATGCAGAGTGGTTTTATTCACATTGTATATGATATAATGACACATCTGTAGTTGAACCAGCACTAGAAGATCTCTTATGATCTGTGCCTTATATGCATGACTGGTAGAGTGGTATGTGGTATTACCATCCCTGTTCAGGAACCTCTTTTTTGTCATGGGTCTTTCTTGCATGGCTTTATTTTACTTGTTTTTATCCTGATATTATCAGCTCTAGTGTTTGCATTCTTTACCAGCATGTCTCTACTAGTGAATCTAACCTAGAGCTCACTTTGGTTTTAATTACTATTCCAACAATTGAGGTAGGGGGCTGTTTTGGTAATTTACTATGTCAATCCCTAAATTTGGCTTTCAGGATTCTGAGGAACATTTCATTGGTATCTCAAAATGTGAACTGGAGAAAGGAACAGGTATCTCACTCAGTCAGGTAAGTGATTATTGAACATGAATGGAAACATTTTTCTTTGACCTTTTCATTGTATTTGTTACATTTAATAACTTTCCTAATAACAAACCAACCTTGCATTTCTGGAAGGAAATTCATACTTTTCAAGGACTTTGAATTATGTTTGCTATTTGTAATTTTGTTTTCTATTTTATTTAATTTATTAGCATTTCCTTTCTGTGCACGACTGGTAGAGTGGTATATGGTATTACCATCCCTGTACAGGAACCACTTCTTTGTCGTGGGTCTTTCTTGGATGGCTTTGTTTTACTTGTTTTTATCCTGGCATTATCAGCTCCAGTGTTTGCATTCTTCACCAGCATGTCTTCTACTGGTGAATCTAGTCTAGAGCTTACTTTGGTTTTAATTACTATTCCAACAGTCGTGTCTTTCTGGGTTCAAAAGTGAATTTTGGGAGGTAGGATGACAGTCTGTCAGTTGTTTATGTTATGGTCCTTAATGAAATCTTTTGTTGCCTGCTCTTTTAAACTAAGCAAGTCTCAATTATATATCATGCCATTAAATATGCTTTAATAATGTTTTAAAATTGGCCTACAACATTACCAATGTGTGAATATAAAATTTAATTTGTATCTGCTGTTTGAACCCTTGTTTAAGTTAGTGTCCCCTCCCCCACTTGTGTTTTTGCAGTGCTGGGCCTCACACATGCTAGGTAAGCACATTACCAATGAACTAAACTCCCAGTCTACACTGCCCTCCATTGTGTGTAAATGATGCTACATCCTTGTAGGTAAACTGTTTAAATGTCCATATTTATTTCCTAAGATTGGATAAAATGTACAGTTCCTTTAGTAGTGAAAATGAAAATGCCCATCTATGTCCTCACCAATACACTGTACTACATTTTCTTTTTTTTAATTTGCCAATTGCAAAGGTGAAAAGATCGTCTCCTTTATATTTTAGTTTGTGTTTCTTTGTTTCCTAATGATGTAAAATAGATTAAAATGCTTCTTGGGGTCTTATTTTTTAGTTTCTTCCCCTGTTTTTGGTGGTACTGGAGGTTGAACTCATTGCCTTGCACTTGTTAGCCATGTGCTCTACCACTTGAACCACACCTCTACCCCATTTTGCTCTGGTTATTTTGGAGATGGGGTCTCAGGAACTGTTTGCCTGGGCTGGTCTCGAACTGCAATCTTTCTGATATCAGCCTCCCAAGTAGCTAGGATTACAGGTGTGAGCCACTGGCACCCAGCTATCATTATTTTTTAATACAAATGGTATGTAACTGATTTTCTAAGTGCCCAGCATATCCGGGGTTTGGGTGGTTGTAGTAAGGGCACTTATGGGGATCCCAGCAGGAGTTTCAGAATCTTTTTCTAGTGCTCTGTTTTTAACATGACTTAAATGTTCTTCCAGTTACTGTTGATCTTCTCAGCTTTGATACCACTGAATTATGCTGTCCTCTGTGACAGGATTTGGAAATCCTTTTCCATGTTGGGCCTGAAGGTAGTTTAGACTTCATGGCCATATGAGTTCTGCCATTGTGGTTCTAAACAATGCATAAATGAATGAATGAGCCTGTGCTCCAAGAAAACTCTATAGAAAGAGCTAGTGGGCTACAGTTTGCCAACACCTGCTTCATGGCATTTTACTCTCATACCTTCTGCTCTCATAGTTTATGTTTGTGCCGATGATTCTCCCCAGGAACTTTTTAGAGTGTTTCTTTTTTTAAAAAAAAAAAAACCTCCAGGCTTTGCTACTGATTACCCCTTTCCATATTTCACAATTTCAAAGCTTCCGAGACCATAGGTGGTAGCTAAACTGGATGCTTTGCATGCCATTGGTGTCTTGTGCTGGGCCAGGGAAGTGGCTTGTTCAGCTGTCTTCTTTGTTGCTTCATCATTTGGATGAGTTTTAAGAAGTTTATGGAACTTATCTCTAACGTGCTATCATTCCTTTGATTCAGCTTATCTCTGGCTCTCTGCATGTCATCTTATTCTTATCTTCCCTTACCTTCTAGCTCTTTGATACTTCTTTTTTTCCTCATTCATAGCTTGAACTTTTGTAACATCTGTAGGCATGGCTTCCATTCTAGCCCATCTTTCTCTATATATACTATCTGCTTTAGCTCTGCTTGCTGCTCTCCAGGCTGTCCAGTTGTCATTAAATTGATAACCTGATTCCTATGGATTAAGTTTCCTGAGACTGGAGGAATAACTGTTGCTATTTGGCAGGTCTAGGACACATTCCCTTATTGTTTGCTATATGCAACTATCTTTAAAAATTGCCATGTAGTGCTTTTTTTACAGTGCTTTTTTTTTTTTTAAATCCCTAAGATATTCATTCATCTTTACTGCTCTAAATAATAACACAAATCGGAATATAGCATTTATGTCCCAAAATGATGATATAGGGTAACTTCAAAAGTTACATGACCTGGGCTGGGGGCATGGCTCAAGTGGTAGAGGACTTGCCTAGCAAGTGCTTCCAAAAAAAAAAAATATATATATATATGATGACCCAAATTCATTGAAACAAAAGGTTAAGACTGTTGGGGCCAGCGCTGTGGCTCAAGCAGTAAAGTGCCTGTTTAGCAAGCATAAAGCCTGAGTTCAAACTCAAGTACCACCAAAAAAAAAAAAAAAAAAAGAAAAGACAAATTAGGCATCAGAAAAAGTTAGACTGTTGGTTGCCAGGGGCTGGAGAAAATAGAGGATTGTTTACTCGGTACAGAATTTCAGTTTTATAAAATGAATTAAGTTCTAGAGATGTGTACATATTTAGTACTACTGAACTGTGTACGTAAAATGGTTAGGATGGTGAAAATGTAACCTGTGTGCTAGGCATGGAACATGTCCATTTTGGCTGCTCGCCCCAAAGAAGACAAACAAAATAATGATGAAAAAAGGCAGGGAAGAATTTTAATCAAAATGGCCATTTTGCAAAGATAGAAATTAAGCATTGGAAGCCCATCTTCGGGTCCTGACAAGAGCTTTAGGTTTGAAATAGAGGGAGAATGGGGTAAGGAGTGAAAGGTATGCCTAATTAAGCTGCTTCAGTTAGAGGTGTGGTCATGTTGATCATTACCTCATTTCTGGTTCTGCTAGGTGACTGCAGAAGTCCTTATCTCTAGGGGATAATCCAGTTCCTGGGAGATAATTATTCCTGGGGTGGGGGGGGGGTGATCTCATCATGTGGTTATCTGTCCTAGAGGCTCTGTTCTTCCTGGAATCCAAACTGACTGAGGTTTAGGACAATGACTGGAGACTTTCAGGCGCCTGTTCAGGAGTCTGGAACAGAATCTGAAATGGATGTTGCAGAAGATGACAGTAAAATACTTTAGTTATTCTTATCTTTGTGCCTTCAACCTTAAAGGGGGATGCCTTAGATTAGGTATCACCAGTTTTTAGATGGATGCTCTGAATGATTAACATGCCTACGTGCAGAATTGAGCAAGAGTCTGATCCAAAGGAAAGAAGAAAGATACAAAATGAAGGCAGAGATGCCAGGCTTTTATCCTGATTTTAGTTACATTCTGAGCCCAGGTCCCTTGCAGCATAGTCTTTGGTAGTTTTAAATGCCTAATTGGTAACTATGTTATAGATTAATAGGGGCTGTTAATATTCTGTTCTTTATAGGGGGAACGATTCTCATTTCCTTACTTTCCACTGTTCATGGTAAACAATTTTAATTACGATAAGTGAATGTTGCTTATTAGCCCAATGCTTGGCTATATCTGATTTTTTTCCTACTTTGTCCTTTAATGTTCAGTTCCCTTTTTTACAAGCTTCGCTATTTTTACATATCACTAAACTTTATCCCTCAGCGTAGGAATCTCACTGGCTTAACTTACTCTCATTGGGTAGTCACATTTTGAAAAGCTTCTGGTGCTGGGGAGCCAAGAGAACAAAGTTGTCTGTCTGACCCCTATCCCCTGTCTTCCTCTACCCTCCCCCCACCCCACTGGATTTTGAATTCAGAGCCCTGGACAAAAATCTGGGCACAGGAAGCCATTCTTATCAATTAGGGTATGTATTCTGTCAGTGGGCCCTGATTACTAATCTGCTTCCCAGATACCAGCCAAAGACCGACATTTTGAGGGGGTGTGAGGGTGCTGGGGATTGAGCCCAGGGCCTTGGGCATGCTAGGCATGCACTGTACCCCGGAGCTGCATTCCCAAACAAGGACCAACCTCAAAATCAGCTTTGCCTAAAGACAGTAGTCTTAGATCTACTATGTTAATACTTTTCTGTGCATATGAATTAAATGTATAGTATATTAGAATTAGAATATTCTATAATTGATCACATTTGGACCCTACATAGACAAGAGGTAGACCAGTTTGATAAGGATGATCTATTTTACATTTTATTGGCAGTACTGGGGTTTGAACTAAGGATTTCCTAGGCTAAATTTAAACACATGGTTTCTGTTGTGTTTGAACCATGCTCAATATTGAGAGCCCTTTAGGGATATTAAAAAGGATGACCTAAGTTTTTCACAAAGCATTTTTAGCGAGTCTGTCACACATTGCCCATTTTTGTTTGCTTCCTTTTATTTTCCTCATTCTGTTGCATATCCTTGGAACTGATTGAAATGTGTTCATTTTAAAATTTGGCTGTCATTTATTTCCTACAGTTTATTTGGAAGTCAGCATTCAGTGAACCCTTCTTTAAGAAAGACATTGGAGAGCTGGGCAGTGGTGCCTCAGACCTGTAATCCTAGCTATTTGGGAGGCTGAGTTCAGGAGTATTGCCTTCACAGCCAGCCCTCACAAATAGCGAGATCCCATTTCCAAAATAACCAGAGCAAAATGGATCAAGAGATAGAGTGCACTGAATTCGAACCCCAGCACCACCACCACCAAAAAAAAAAATTAACAGGCTTTTTCATTTGATAAGATTTAGAAACACAGATTTTCTGTGGTATGTGGGCATAATTTGATTCACATATTTTCCTCCTCTACCAAAAATTTAAGTACTTGTAATCTCTTTGATCCATTTTCCTAGTAAATTAAAAATGTTGAAGTATACCAAAATGTTCATATTGGTCATCATTTGAGACAGGTTTACATAAATAATAAAAATATAAATAATTGCTTTTTTTTTTTTTTTTTTTTTTGAGACAGGGTCTTGCTGTATAGCCCTGACTGGCCTCAAACTTGCAATTGCTTCAGTCTTCCAACTACTGGGATTATAGGCATGTGCCACCATACCTGGCATTTTTTTGTCTTAAGTACTATGTCATCATTTGGTAGGTGAACAATGAATGACGGATACTGTCCTAATACCACTTCTCAGGTACTCACTGAGTGTCCTGTGATTCACTTCAGTTCTGACCCAGTTCAGAGTTAATACTCACTACTCTGCACATCAGTGTTCATTCACCAGGAGAATCTTCGAACTCTGCATGTCTAGAGTTTTATTGAGGTCTTATTACATTATTGACCTTGAGATTAAGTTGTCTCTGGTCCATCTTCTGGTGCTGAAGGTCTGGGACTGAGGCTGAAAGTTCTAATCCTCTAATAATAAGCTAGGTCTTTGTGGCACAGCCAGCCCCTCCCTTGCAGCGATTTGAGGGCCCACTTTGAGTTACTTCCTTGGTGTAAATTCAGGTATGGTCCAAAAGAGTTGTTTTTGTTTGTTGTTTGTTGTTTGGTTGTTGTTTATTTTAAGACAAGCGTATTGCTGTTTAGCTCAGACTGGCCTTGAACTCCCTCAGCCCCTGGAGTACTGGATTACAGGTGTGCACCTCCTACACCTGGCTAAGTAGGATCAGGGGTAGACATGTTATTCCCTTTTCCCTTGCCTAGGTGCTCCCTTCCCCTATGTGCAAAATATTTGCTGCTCTTCCCACCACTCTCTGTAGTTGACACACTGCTGGAAGTGTAGAGGAGAGGGAGCCCCTTTCCTCTTACACACACAGATCCTTTCCCAGGAAAACAGCCTCTAGGAGCAGCTCAAAGCCACCTGTAAAGAACCAGCCTATAGCAAAGGTTATTAAGCAAGGTCATCAAGCAAGGTCCTGAAAATTAGCCTTCATTGATGATAATGAGAGAGGGACTGAGGGAGCAAGGCACAAGACAGCTGATTTAGGAGTGAGCCACCACAACCCATTTCCAAAGATATTCTGTATGAATTAGAAAAGACATTCCCACTCCTGTCATTCAGGAAATTTCTGTGCTAGGAGCCAGGAACAAAGATTTATTCTTCACTATACTACAGTTATATTTTTATGGTTTGCTTTTGGTTTTAGTAAGGTTTTTGTTGTGAGGAACACAGATGATCAAATAAGGGAGTTGTAATTGTTAGGGCTGCATGAATTGATGGGAGATTTATTGGAAACCCACTACAGGAACTGGTGTACGACCATGCTTCTTAGGGATAGGAACTAGAAACCAAACAGGGAATCCAGGTGTCTGCAGAAAGCCTCTCTGTGTTTCTTTTCTTGGCCAAGTTTGCTGTGTATTTCTGTTCTATCATCATTTTGTTTCTGATTGTTTTTCTCACTCCATTAACTTTCTATGCCTTCTCTATCTTAGAGCTTCTGTTTATTCCTGGTTTGGGCTTTCTCAGGAATCGGTAGAGCTCCCATTCTTATTCATTTCTTTGTTTATTTGTTGGTACTTTGGTACTGGTGGGCTTTTTGTTGTTTCTTGGGTTGGGGGTTTGGTTTTTTGTTTGTGGCTCTGAGGTTTAAACTTGCCAGGCAGGTGCTCTACCACTTAAACTGCACCCCAGCTCTTTTTTTTCTTTTTCTTTTTGCTTGTTATTTTTCAGGTAGAGTCTTGTGTTTTTCTCTAGGGGCAAGTCTCAGACTCTAATCGTCCTTCATGTTGCCTCCCACATTATTGGGATCACAGGTGCATGCTACCATGCCCAGCTTTTTGGTTGAAATGGGTCTCACTGACTTTTAGCCCTGACTGGCCTAGAACCTAGCTACTACTGAACTCCACCTCCCAAGTAGCTGGGATTACAGGCATGAATCACTGAGCCTGGCCTATTCTAGTTTTTTATGCTTGTTTAAAACTTGAGGTCTCACGAATTGTCATCCTGTCAGTTAGACTGGCTGTTGCCTAAACTAGTCATCCACTCTGCCACTGAACTATATCCTCAGTCCTGAAAGTCCATCTTTTGCTCACTTATTTTAAATTACATCTATTAAATACTAAATTCTCATTTATTTAATCCTGTACCATGACTTACTGTTTTTGTGTCATCATCTGTCCATTCCTATGGCCTTGTGGAATTATTTGGATTGTGTAAGTATTTATAAGTGTTATTATTTGTTGTGCCCACTTACTACCTGCACATGCCATTCCCTATTCTCTGAATTTCTTCATTGTGTTTTAATAATGCTTGAGTCAATGACTGTTTATCTTCATGGCTTATTTGTTGTGCCCACTTACTACCTGCACATGCCATTCCCTATTCTCTGAATTTCTTCATTGTGTTTTAATAATGCTTGAGTCAATGACTGTTTATCTTCATGGCTTTTGACTTCCATACAACAGTTTACTATAGTAGTCTCTATTTTGAATGTTTTCACTATTTTGTGTCAATTCTACCTGTTCTCCCCCCACCACTATCTTGTCTATCTATTTATCTGTTTATCTAGCTATCGTTTCTTCAGCTGTCCCTTAAAGCCATCACATTGCATACATACTTATATACATATGATTTATATATGTGTATGAATATATACATATATGCACATATGTATGCAATGTGATGGCTTTAAGGGAGGGAGATAGATATAAAACACAGAAAAGTTTACATGTTCACATTGTGCAGGGAGATTTTAATCAGTGCATGTAACATCATAAAAATAGAGCTATCTCAGAAACAGAAGATAATATCTCATGATCTATACTTGCTTATAAGCCAGTTGCTAAAAATTGCCTTTGTTTTTGGTTGAGTGACAAATAATTTTTATGGGGTGTGGCACTACTGTTATTCATAAACTACTCTGCCTTGACACGGGTCTTTGCATTGCTTAAACATGATCCCTTCTCATACACAAGTCATTCAATTTTATGTTCTTAATAGCATCGGTTTAAGCATATAATGTATAACTCTGGAGTATGTGTGAGTACATTTGGCTCTTAGTTCAAATAAGTTTATGAATATCATAATTTATGTAACATTCTTTATTTAACGGTTTACTTATTAATATGTCTTTAGGTTGTCCTTTTCCTAAATAACAGTGTAGTGAAAAGTCAGTCCATGTGTACTTGTGTGGTTATTTCTATATAATTTCTTTTCTTTCTTTCTTTCCTTCCTTCTTCCCTTCCTTCTTCCCTTCCTCTGTCCTTCCCTCCCTCTCTCTCTCTTTCTTTCTTTCCTTTTGTCTTTTTTTTTGGTTGTAGGGATCGAACCCAGAGCCTTCACACATGCTAAATAAGCCCTCTATCATTGAGCTACATCCCCAGTCCCAGTATTAGGATTATAAGCCTGTGGCATCATGCTAGGCTGTGAATGATTTCAATATGATGACATCCTTGGAAAAGTTGGTTAAAAAAATATGAACAGTGTTTATTTATTAACATTCCTCCCATATTGCCTTTATAAAAACATTTTCATTTGTAGTTTTGTTATTTAACCTTATAGTTGTTTAAGAAGTTTCCTAGGGAGCCAGTCACTGGTGGCTCACATCTGTAAACCTAGCTACTCAGGAGGCAGAGATCAGGAGGGTCACAGTTCTAAGCCAACCAGGGCAAATAGTTCTTGAGACTCAATCTCAAAAAAAAAAAGGCTGGTGGTGTTGCTCAAGGTGTAGGCCCTGAATGCAAACCCCAGTACCAGAAGAAGAAAAATTTGCTGAGGCTAGGGGTATAGCTTAGGGGTAGAACACATGCCTAGAATGGGTGGTAAGGCTTTAGGTCTGATTCCATGCACTTTACCCACCAGTGAGCCCACAAAGGTATTATAAACCTGATTCAGTTTGTTTTGTTTGAATTTGTCTATTTTTGGAAAACAAAGATCAAAATGTATGTTATCCTTCCTATATGTTGGTTAAACTTTTTGTGGAGGTGGATATCATCATGTTATTTTTTGTAAAATAACTTCTGTTTCAGGGCAGTTTTTGATTTATGGAAAGATTACAAAGAGTACTGAATTTTCCATTATTACATCAGTGTAATACATTTGCCACATTCCTATTCTTCCTACCCCTGGAAGCCTCTAGTCTACTTTATGTCTCTTAAGAATTTGCTTATTCTAGGTGCTTGATACAATTATAATCATATAGTATTAGTCCTTTTGTGTCTGGTTTATCTCACCTATCACAATATTTTGAGTTTCATCCATGCTGTAGCATATGTCAGAATGCCATTCTTTTTAAGGGTTGAAAAATATTTCATTGTATATGTGTGCCGTTTTGTTTATCCATTTCTTTTGTTTGTATGCCACATCTTATTTTTCAGCTAATTAATTTGGTCTTGGTAAGCTGTACAGTAGAGAATTGTTAACTCTAGCAATAAAAATCTTAAAATTGACTCCCACGTTTTAAAATTCAACTTTGGGCTAGGGATGTATCTTAGTTTGTAGGTAGAGTACTCACTCTCACATAACATGTTTAAAGCCCTGGGTTCCATCTCCAGCACCACCAAAAAAAAGAAGATACAGCTTTGATCTTCTGGAATTATGTTACAGACACATCAGTATTAAATTACCCAAAAATAAACAAAAATGCTTTCTTATTGTAGATGTGATGCCTTTGGCATCACTCCTTGTCTTTTTCTCCTTGATCCAAAATAATCATAATGAGCAAAATAGTTTTATGTGAGTTAAAAAATACTTTTCTCTTAACTGTTATTGTTTGTTGTATAAAATTGATGTCTATTCTCTGAATATCTATTGTTTTCTTTCCTTTTTCCTTTCTGTTCTCTGCATATTTTCTGCAGACCTCTAGTCAGTTTCTTTAGGGAGGAGTAAGTTCAAATCTGTGTGCATCACTTAGGGTTACAGAGAATCGTTTTCCTCTAGTATGCTGTGTGTAAAAAATTTATAAATCATATAGGTATTCATTTTCACAGATTTGACAAAGAGCATAGCACAGTTAATAAAAAGCACATGTACAACCACTCAGATTATTCCTACATTTCTTTGTAGTTGTTTAGATTGACCTTTTTAGATGACTCTTAGCAGGAATATTTTCCTGTTTTGTTATGAGTATATAAAAGTCTCTTATTTGTTTTAGAACATTTTTTACTTTTTTTTTATTTTTATTTTTTGGTGGGACTGGGGTTTGAACTCAGGGCTTCATGCTTGCCTGGCAAGCTCATGCCCCCAGCCCTATATTAACAGTTTTTATGATTAGAAAGTAAGTATTTTTTTGGTTTTGGTGGTGGTGGTGCTAGGGATGGAATCCATGGCTTTCCTATGGCTAGGCAAGCACTCTACCAATGAGTCCTTATAATATAAATTCTAATATTATCCCTTACTTTTTCAGATGGTGTAATGAAGATCAGTTAGGCTCAGTAACATTGCTCTCAACTGTCATAGAATGAGGACATTCTCATTCTCAGTCATGCCTGGGTTAGAGGTAAGAGTGAGGTCCTTTTCACTATCCATTGGTGACAATTTTTATGAATAATAACAAAGCAGTAACAGAAAAGTTCATAGCATAAATATGTTAGGATTAATCCAGGTGTCTGTAGTAGGACACCTGGATATGACCATATTTGATTTTCAAACCTGGCATGAACAATGTACCCATAGAAAAATGACCTTTGAAAAGGCCGTTTCCAGGCTGCAGGTGTGGCTTAACTGTAGAGCTCCTGCCTAACAAGTGCAAGGCCCTGAGTTCAAGCCCCAGTACTGGCCCCCCAAAAAAGATAAAATCTCATTTTGTCCCCAAAGTTGGCTTGTTTTTAGGGATACCTAAACCTTAAATTATTCTAATGATGTAGTCATCTTACCAATTCTAACGTTGCTATTGTTTTTATTAAATTTCATAGATCATCAAACCAGTGAAGTTCAAAACTTGGCCAAGAATGGCTAGCTAATAAATCGTGGGTTCCTTTCTGAACATTTCTGTTCAAGTTGCTCTACTTATTCTACTGTATTATTTTTGTACTTTCCTACATACCCTTGACCCTTGGGGTATTTCTGTTCATGATGAATCTGTCCTAATAACCTTACTATAAATATGTTTTTGAAGGTATGGCTCAAGCAGTAAAGCACTGAGTTCAAACCTTAGTACTGCAAAAAAAAAAATACATATTTTTACAACTTAACCACACTCCATGAAAGAAGCTCTTTTTTTTTTTTTGTGGTACTGAGGTTTGAACTCAGGGCTTCAGTCTTGTTGGGCAGGCGCTCTACTGCTTGAGCCACTCTGGCAGCCCACAGATTGCCTATTGATTCCTTTAACTGGGTACCAGGACAAGAGATTCTTCCGCAGCAGTCTACCATCAAGTGAACCATTTTGCCTTAGATATTTCTTTACAGGTTCAGTCCCCTCCATCTTTAGGTCTTCTGCTTCCATTCAACTTCCCATCTCATACACTGAGGATTGCGAATCTAGGTCAGGTGAGGAATCATTCCACCCCTGGAACCTTTCTGGAAAGATTGCTATCTTTCTAAAAGAAGGGAAAGTTTTAATTCATTTAAGCTACAGAATAAGTTATAAATTATAATGCTTTGTGTAATTGATTTTAAAGAAAACCTACTTCTTTTCAAAAGCAAACATCTATGTCTGTATTTCTATTTATTATTATCTGCTCTGGTCTTACAGATACTCTCTTCCATCCTCTAGCAACTTTGTTATTGGTACTATTTTCACATACATTGTATAGGTAAGTGTGAGTTGAATAGATAAGTGTGAATTGGAGAGAAAATAATTCTAACAAGGTCAGAATGCAGTCTTTACTCCCATTTCCTGCATAGGGAGCAAGAAAGGTTTCTCCCTTTTTCCCCCATTTTTCCCCACTTTTATCCTGTTGTACTAAATTTCTTTCCTAATAAGCTTTACTGTCATTTTCACTATTAAAAAAGAAAAAAAAAAAAACAATGCTTTTTAAGTTACAGTTTGAATTGTTTAGGATATAATTAACCGGAGAAAAAGAAATATGGATAACTTCACACACTTGAAAATTTCCCAATATTTGCCAAGCAAAAGTATATGCTCATACAATGACCCACCAGAAGAGTGATGTAGGGTGACTTAGGGAGCCCTTTGTAGATTGTCCCCACTTATCTTTAGCCTTGTACCACATCACCAGTGTTCTCTCATTTTCACAATGCCTATAGAAGGTAGTCTGTCCTGTGTCCTGGAAGTCACTTTGTTTCATCTTGGCTCCTGAGCATTGTCAAGTATTGGGGATTATAAACATTTTTACCTGCCATTGGATGCCTATTGTCCCCTACACCAAAACTGAGGCAGAATCTGGGAGTTGCTTTCAGGTACAGGAACAATGTGGTAGGACATGAGTTCCCTTGCCATTAGACTCGCATGGTGGACAACCTTCTGCTTCTCCAAAAGATATGCTGCGTCTTCAGAAAATTAATCCAACTCTTGGGGCCACTGCTACTTCCAGAGTTGTTCTAGGTGTAGCAGTGCCCCGAGAGCCTCAAGGTAAGTGGTTTGAGAGGGGGAATACAAGTTCGTAGACAGTATCAGCATCAGCTTAGTAGGTAACTACCTAACTGGGCCCCATCAGTTTTTAGGTACGAGCAGTGAGATCTGAGGGCTGAGTGTGGGGTGGCTTGTCAAGGCTTCTCTGGGCTAGATGAAGACTCAAGCAAACTGTGAGTACTTCGAGTACTTTGACTTTTGAAGTTTAAGGTATTTTAGACTCCTGGCTTCACATCTTTTAAATAACAAAAGGGAAATTGTAGAAGTGGGATAGTGAATTGATGTTACTAGGAATTCTATTTGAAAATTTTTGGATAAGGGAGATAGGTAAGGGTATGGGCCTAATGGTTTGGGACAAGAGGGAAAGAGGATCCATCTGGAATCTGTTTTAAAGAAGAAAAATATGCATGGTACTTTGAAGAGACTGAGCATCAATCCAAGAAGAAATGTGATCTCAGCAGCCACCATCACATCATCCCCAACCCTACCCCCCAACACACACCTTGTTGACAAGGTATAGTCCCGTCCCACCCCCCCATGCCAGTTTCATGTAGTTTGGGACTCAGCATATGCCAGACAATTCAGACAGTGAGGGACCAGTCCATTTAGGCCACCAGAGCAGTATGGGAGGGATGGTTTCCTGTAGTGTGAGCTGTAGTGTCAAGGGGGTGGGCAGCAGCAGAGGAGGTACTTGAGGCAGCATGGGGGGAAGCATACATATCCTTAAAAAGCAAAGGACACAGGATTTTAGAACTCATAAAGTTCCCCTAAAGTCACGGATAGTTGCAGTTTTATTACATAGTCCTTCGCAGTGACTACGGTTATTAGCAGTGATATTGAAAAAAAAAATACTCACTTGCAACTTCCCTATTTCACTTGTGACCTATTTATTGTATTGAAAATGAAGTTCATGAACACAACCCTCATTATATATCAGAAGTCCTAAATTTAGATGCCAACATTATTATATACAGGCTTCCTCTCTGCCCCTTTTCTAATTCCAAGTACCTGTGGTGCCAGCCTGTGTCCTGTCAGTGTTCCTGAATACTTACTATTGTTCAATTTTTGGGTTGGTGAGAGGAGCTAAAATTGGAAATTGGCATGTATTAAGATCCTAAAGATTTTAGTTACCCAAAGAATCTTATTGTTTGGTAAGTACAGGACATTTACACAATAAATACAAGTATGGATATTAGAAGCCGTCTGCTTCAGCAACTTGATTTCAAGCACTTTCTTCTTTTTAATTGGTGGTGCTGGGATCTCAGCTCAGGGCCTCATGCTCACCAGACAGGCGTTCTTCACTTGAGCCACTCCCCCAGCCCAAGTACTTCTTATTTTCCATCTATTATACTTGATGCGGTTAAGAGAAGGTAACTGAGGAGTTTCGTTTATCTTGGAACTACGTTCATCAGTTAAGAGGAAGCAAGTCTTTAAATATAGAATGCTTCCACAAGATGATAACCAGTACCCAACATTTGTTCCCTAGGGAATAGTGCACCATGTAAGCAAAGTCTTTGGTCATCTATATGGAGTTCCAAGTGTCCCTTAGTTGTTAGGGGATCTAGAAAGGGTGTGTTTGGCTTTGCTGTTTTTTTCACTGGCCTCTGGGAGGACCAGGAAGCTGTTCAGATATATGCTACTATGCTGATCTCTATGCTCATTGTAGAGACTTACTGTATACTGTGTCTTATTTTGTTTTTTAGGGGAGGGGGTGGTTGGGATTTGAACTCATGGCCTTGTGCTTGCTAGGCAGGCACTCTGCCACTTGAGCCACACCCCTAGCAGTTTTTGCTATAGTTATTTTTCAAATATGGTCTTACAATTTTGCTGAGGTGGACATGGACCACCCACCATCCTCCTATTTATTCCTGCCACTTAGCTCGGTTGACAGGCTCATGCTACCACTCCCAGCCATTGGTTGAGATGGGTGTCATCAGCTTTCAACCCAGGCTGGCTTCAAACCATGATCTTCCAGTTCTACACCACTCAAGTAGCTAGCATTATAGGCATGAGCCATGGAATCCGGCCCTTGTATACTGCCTTTTAATTTAGTACAGTCATGATGTCAGGAGGTCCTTGGTGGGATTCCACAATAAAAGGTTTAAAAAATTCCATACCTTATATGAGGACAAGAGTGCACAATGAAGTATGTGGTATGGTTTTGTAATAGAAGACTGCTTGTGGGCATTGACTTCAAGAATGTTTGCAAAAGGTTTACAATGAAGACAATAAAGAATACACTTCATGTCATCGGGAGGAGGAATGAGCCTGAAGGTAGTAGCTCCTTTTGCTTGTGCTACATGTAGTCACATGAGCTTTGTGATGCTACAAACATTAAAAAGGCAATTTGTTGATTACTGCCAGCTTGAATGGCCAGTGCACCTCCTATTCCATACCTATATTGAATTAGCTGGTCTTTGGCAGGATGAGGTGCTTACTGTGCTGTTTTTCGGGCCCTGAAAACTTCACTTATGCTTACTCAATCAAATCCAACATCACCACATATTAACAGCAGTCAAGAAAATAATGATTTGGTTTATTTTATGCTTTGAAAAAGTAACAGCCAGATGTGGTCATCATGCCTGTAATCCCAGCCTGGGATGCTGAGATAGGGTCATCAAAAGAAAAAAAAAGAAAAGTAACAATCTGGAACAGGTGAATCAAACTGACTTCAGAACCTGAATTTAGACTACAGCACAACAAATGTTATTTTCAAGTGAAAAGCACTGGGTTTTAGGTATGGAGACCTGCAGACGACACATTTCTACAACAGGGGGAAAGGGGAAATAAATACTTTTTCTTCTGTGTCCTTTGTGGGTGGGATTCATGGATGCACTTCCCTGCTTGGCTGCCTCAATAGTGTGAAGGAACCCCTGTTGCAGTACAGATTTTTTTCACCATTGGAAGTTAAAGGTTAGTTTTCCTAAATTTGGTCTGTTTCCTACCTTGAAGCATATAATCTAGAAATGCACAGGTCCACAGAATAATCTACATAGACTCCATCCATAGGAAGAGACTTTCTAGCAAAGAGCCTCTTATTATAACTGATAGATGAAATCAGAATCACCTAATTACAACATTAAAGTTAAGCAGCAAAGCTTAAGGTGATCACTGGCAATCAAAGTACAAGAGTCCCAAAATGGTTGAATCCCTAATTAGTACCTATTTTTAAAGTATTCGTTACCTGAAAAAGTTCTGATACAATTTTGTTTGACACAAATTCCTGTTCTTTGGAAACAATACAAATTGGTGAAATAACAAATTTAGGGACAATTTTCTGTAAGTAGGCAAGAATCTTTAGGCACTAGCTTTTTTTTTTACTCTTAGCCAATTGGGAATTTTCTCCTGTGGTTCTGAATCTTCCCCTACCAAGGCAGGGTTATGTTTTGCCAGTTAACTATTGTGTAAAGTGACCTAATGATGTACAACTACTATTTTCAAGCATTCTGTTTAGGACATAATTTTGTAAGGCTGAAGAGACAAGTTCCAGCATTGATGATACAGCTAAACATAGCAGTTTTTTATGATTGCCTTTGGAGTAATTTGGCTGTTGGAAGGGGTGTTATTGGCATAACACTTTCCTAGTCTTGCAATTTCCCCTTCTGTACATGGTAAAGCACTGTACATGTTGCTGGGCTGCATTGCTGAAATCCACTGCTGGAGAAGTACTATCCTGAAGTAGGATAACCAACTTTAGAAAGGTACCACTGGTTTCTAGCCTCATTGATTTTCTAAATCAGATTTAAGGCCCATTTGATGGCTAAAATTGGCAAGTGGAGTGTTTGGGAGTATATAAGTTGACTTTCCAGTTTGGGCTTCTCTGCAGAAACAATGCATATCTTTCATGGATAATTGTGGCTTTATCCTTTGAAATGCCTGGTGCATAAGTGTCTTCTGAAGTTTAAACTTAGCCAAATTTTAGAAGTAAAATTTTTCTACAAATTCAGATCTTCAGGACTTTAATTCTTGGAGATTGATGCTCACACATGACCAGCTGACCGTGCTGTTTTTAAGTGCAGTGGTGTCCAGTTACACTTACCAATCCATCTTAGCTAGTGGAGATGCTTATTTCCATCCTGTACAAATAGGCACTGGGTACAATAAAACTTCCCAAATAAGAAGAAAGTGTTGGCACCTGTTTTTTAAATGGTGAGCCATGAACGTGGAAATTTGTGTTCCCTAATGTACCTTTTGCTATCGGTTGTCAGTTTTCCGAGGGACATTTCATCTGGTAAATTGGTAGATCTAAAGCCTGGGTACCTGTATTTTACCTAATTTGTGTAATCAATGGTATTGTGTAAACAATGCTGTATGCCTATAACTTGACCACCTACATTCTATAGGTAGAGTTCTCTGTCCCTTCAGTTGCCCCTTTAGGAAAAATGTGAAAAATATATGGTTTTTCAAGATGTATTTTAATATTCCCAGGTAATTGTGAAGGCTTTTAGAGGAAATTATTGAATATATTTCATAGTTTTAGGTACCTTATGGGCCTTGTTTTAATGGAGGGGGGACAGTTTTCCTGTAATTTGCTTTTTCTAGTGTACATGTCTTTAGACGCCTAAAAGTAGACCCTGTAGAAGTAATGGACACAGAGCAACAACATAAATATGTAATACAACATTTGTTCACACAGTTGTGCCTTTGGCAAAAGAATTCTGTCAGAATGCTACATAATTTCCTTGTAGCATTACCATATTATTCAGCCACTAGTGTATTTTGTTGTTGTGTCTTTTTTTATTAGGCACATGTTTAAATAGTTTTTAGAAATACTCTGATAGGATTTTCAGGCCCAATAATTTGTTTCCACTGTATTTTCAGGAATGATAATTTAGTGATGTCTATGATGTATTCTCCATTTATTTTGTACCTATACATCTTGTGAACTGTTGGCAATAAGCAATGAATGGAGATTTATTAGTGCTTGATTTTTCCATAGTTTGGTAGTGGTACTGGTTCTTTTTCCCTTGAGATATTCTGGTAACATCCTCATTCAGTACTTCAATGGTAGTCAACCAACAATAATAGTGTAAGATTTGAGATCATTGTGATTCTCAGCTATTGTAGTAGGCTTAGATATATGTTATTGGGAGAATGATTTTCTTGTTAATAGCTCAATTTTAGCTAGGGGATGTATAGTGGTCAGCCTACAATTACCTATAAGTCCTCAATAGTGTAAGCAAATTGTATACCTTTGAAGGGATTGTCCAGGCTTGGACAGTTTTACTGAGCTAAAAGGAATCATTATTATGGAAACCTTGTCAATTTATCCAAAAGACACCTAGAAACATGGTCATGGGAAACTACCATTAACCTACTTGATCACATTACTATAAAACCAAGAAGCCTTTGGCTAAATGTTTATTCATTTATAACCTTTATTCTCATTTATTGAGACAGGTAACATTTAAAAAATTGATCAGTGTTATATATACAGTTGCTCCTTAACAATAAGGCCATGTTCCCATCAACACATTTAAGTGAAATGCATTTAATACACCTGGCCCACTTAACATGACTTAGTAACACAGTACACTGTAGAGCATTTGTTGTTAGACTAGTAATCATGTGGCTGGCTGGGAGCAGGCACAGCATCATGGAATCCTGTGTAGCATGGATGATTATTTTTGCACCCTCATAAAGCCCCAAACCTTAATTTGAGCCAATATAAATCAGGAACTATATGTACTACAGTAATTGTAGTCTTCCCCTGTATTTCCAGCTTCTTTTCACCTACTCTCTAATGTATAGAAGTATGTCCAATGTTGCTGCCTTGTGAACACATAATTATTGATAGAAAATAATGTAATGAATTGGCCCTCAACTGTTGTCCTTTTGGAAAGACATTGGTTGGGCTGATGATGTAGGTTAGCAGTAAGGGTCCTGCTTTGCATGCACAATGCCCTGGGTTCAATCCCCAGTTATTTCTCTAACAAAAAAAAAAAAGAGGTTGGCACATGTCTGTAATCCTAGCACTTTGGAGGCTGAGGCCGGAGGATCAAAAGTTGGAAAGCTAACCAGGCCTACATAATGACACCCCCTCAAGAAAACTAAACAAAGATGTTAGTTGCAGTGCTTATATCACCAATTTGATTTTAAAAGAGGGAATACTGATATGATAACCTGATCATGTGCTAGTAAACCAAAAATACATTTGAGGATTTTCAAGGGAACTTGAAACATTTTTTGAGTTTGCCTAGTTGCATGAATTGACTTACAGGGTTTGGCATAGGTTACTAATACTGTGTAGATAGTACAGTGTGTTGGTATACAACTTCTTGGTTAGTTCAATACTTCTATTAGGTGCATGTAAACATGCTAATGAGTTATTTTGATCTGGTACAAAGCTAGTTTTTAAACCAACCTCTTAGGATTACATTGTTTCATATATGAAGATGTCTGAGAGGCAACATTTTAATGTTACAGACAATATACTATTGTTCCCAAATTTACAAGTTTTGATATTTCATATACTTTTTGGTTTTGCACTTTTGTCATTGTGAGTTCAAGTGATAATTGTTAAATGTTACATTGCCCCAGTAAATGCATGGCCTATGAAAATTGGACACAAAAAAAACCAGTGTGTGTCAATATGCTATCGCTGATGTGCTCTGGTTTCCCAGTTTGTGTGGGTGAGTGGGTGGCTGTTACTGGGAATTGAACTCAATTTGTTTTCTATGATTATCTCTGATCCACAAGTATGATTCAATAATGAATGATGGTTTAGTTTTGTTTGTGTTCTCAACAATCCCCAGTATTCTCAACTTCATCTTACTTTTGGTTTCAAAAATAATTTTTTTTCATGGCAAACTTTGTTTAGGTAGTGTGCTTTAGTGTTGTCAGCTTGTTTGCTCAGCACATTAAAAATGCCCTTACCTGTTTTCTTGTAGCTCAATGTTGGTGCATTCCATAGTATTAACTAACATTCTGCCACTCCCCATTTGCTGTTTGGAACTTTGTCTGCTAGTAGAGCATTAGCCATTAAAATCTGCTAACTGTGGTTTGAATGAGACTTGAGGTAGTGTTGCTTGCTACATTTTGAAACTCTGTGCCCCTGATTTGTCATACTGGCAGTGTTGACTTAACTACTTAAGCAGAAAATAGGTTTCTAAAACTTATCACAATGAACAATCATTGCTTCTCTTTATTGTTTATTGAATAATATTAATCTAAATTATAAGTCACTGAGGGGACTCATTTTTTAGTAGGTCTTTGGGTTTTTCTACTATTAAAATTTTTATTTCCACTACCTTATATTGACAGAAAGGTATTAGTTTCAAATCTGATAACAATATGTTGTGTAGTTGGCTCAGCAAGCCGTATGTATTTGCAAATATGGTTGTGCTATGTATTTTTGTTTGTTTGTTTAAACCATCTGTAGTTGAATGTAGGTATACCTTTCCTCAGGTTTTGAGGTTTTGTCATGACTGAGCTTTGCAGTGTTTTGCCTCTGCTACTCCTCTATTAGATTATTGTTTAGTGGTGTTACTAGAAAACTTAAATATCCTAGTAGAAGAAAATGTCTCAATTGTAGGGTCAATCTACATGTGGTGTTTCTTTATGCTTTCCCTAGCCTTTGCTTTTATGTTTGTTTGGGGTTTTTGTTGTGTTTTTATTTTATATTTACCTATATTGGGCACTTTGATACTGGTACAAATCCTTTACAGGATTTCATTCATGGTCAAGATACTGGTAAGTATTACTTGGGACTAACGTATCAGTGATTTACAGTTAATAAGTATTATCTCAGTTGCGTAATGAGTAAATTCTCTGAGTAGGAGCACCCATCTTGACAATCCTTCTAATCAATATGATTCTGAACTATTGTGACATAATTAGTATAATATAATTTTTACCCTCTAAAGTTTGGTGGCTTTTAGTATGTTCACAGAGTTGTGGAACAGACACCACTATTTTAGTGTATTTTCTTCACCTCGGGACGATATACCATACTTATTAGCTGTTATTCAAACCCAGATAATTACTAATGTACCTTTTTTGTCCCTATGGATTTGTCTATTTTATACTTTTTCTTTTTTTGTGGACAGGTTCTCACTATGTAGCTCAGTGTGTCCTACAAAACTCATGATCTTGCTTCAGCCTCCCAAGTGCTGGAATTACAGGCATGTGCCTCCATGCCTAGTTTATGCTATACTTTAAATAATTGTCTGGCTTCTTTCAATTATCATATTTTTGAAGTAATATAATAATAATAATAATATACTCTTTCTGGGCAAATAATCTGTGTGGATTTACCTTTCTGCTTATCCATCAGTTGAAAGATACTTGGGTTTATGACACCTATCACCTTTTCTGAGTAATGGTGTGATAGACATTCATACACGTTTTTTATGTGGATATGTTCTCATTTTCCTTGAGTATCCACTGAATTGCTTTGTCATATGACAATCCTGTGTTTAACATTACAACTAACTGGCAAAATTTATTAAAGTTCAATTTAACATTTTTACCTGATACTACTGATGAAAATGTTATTTTCCGACTTTATTTCATATTTTTATATTACGGCCACCAATACATAGTATTTCATTGTGGTTTTGACTTGTATTTCTGGAATGAAGTTATGCTCACCACTATACCACCAATACAGGCACTTGTATTTCTGTGTTGAGCAACTTCTCATATGCTTTTATGCTATTTCTGTATTTTTGGGAAAATGTCTTTTGAAATCCTTTGCTATTCAGATTGTTAGAATTATGTTATATATGTTTTTGTGCAGTTGTAAGAGTTCTTTCTATAATCTAAATAAGAGGCTTTTATTGGATATGTGAATTTTTTTTCCCACTTTTTTTTTTCTTTCTTGGCATGGTTATAGGATAGAAGTTTTAATATTGATTAAATCTAGTTTATATATTTTTCTCTTTGTCTCTTGTGTTACTACTGTTATAAAAAAGAAAATATTGCCTAACCTAATTTATGGCGCTTACATTTAGGACTGTGATTCACTTGGAATTTGGATTTTTATTTATTTTTGTATCTGGTCTAAGGAAGAGGTCTATCTCAGTCCTTTTGCATGTGAATGTGTAGTTGTCTTAGTACCATTGTTGAAAAACTATTCCCCTACTGAATTATCTTGTTACCTTTGTTGAAAAGCAATTGATTCTAAATGGAAGGAATTATTTTTGGGCTCACAGTTCTATGCCATTTTTCTCTATATCCTTATGTCTTTACCATACAGTTATAGTTAGTATAGCTTTATAACAAATTCTTATTAAATGTGAGCTTTTTGGGGAGTGTGATGGGAGTTGAATCCAGGGCTTCATGCATCATGTTAAGAATGCCTTTTACTACTAACTAATATCTCCAAACCCTTGTAATAAATTTTGAAATTTGGAAGTATAAGTCCTCCAGCTTTGTTTTCTTTGTGATTGTTTCGGCGTTTTCATGATTATTCTGGGCCCCTTACATTTCCATATAATTTCAGGGTCAGCTTGTGCATTCCTGTAAAAGGCCAGAATTTTGATCAGGAATGTATTTTATTTATAGATCAGTTTGTGGAATTCTGCCATATTAATGATATTAATTCTTCCAATCCATTAACCTGTGATGTCTTATTTCCTTCAACATTATTTTATACTTTTCTATATAAAAAGTCATAGTTCTTTTTCAAAAATTACTCCATATTTTATCTTTTATAGTATTGAAGATGACATAATTTTCAATAATTGATGCAGATCAAATTACCTTCTTAGTTTCATTTTTGAATTGTTCAATGAAGTATTGAAATGAAATTACTATTCTGTTGTTCTTGCACATTCTAACCTTCCTGAACTCATTGGATAGCTTCTATATAAGAGTTTTACTGTTTGTGTGCATGTGTGTGTGTGGGTGTGTTCTTTAGGATTTATGTGTTCTAAGGTTATGTTATCTATGTATACAGATGTACTTCTTTACAGTTGAATTGACTTTTGTTTTACTTGCTAGTTACCCTGGCTAAAACCTCCTGTATAGAAAAGCAGTCATTCTTGTCTTGTTTTTGACTTTAGTATAATCCATTTATTTTTTGGCCATTAATTAAGGTGATAGGTGTACAATTTTTGTAAATACGTTTTGTCAAGTATAGAAATATCTATTCTGTTCCTAGCTTGCTGATTTTATCATGAATTATTGTCAGATTTTAAGTGCTTTTCTGCATCTGATGTTATAATTAATGAGGTTTTATTTTAGTTGTATAACTATGATGTGTACTAAGTTGATTGATTTTGAGGTATTAAACCAACCTTGCTTTTATTAACTAAATCCTACTTGGTCATTGTGTATAGCTCTTTATATTTGTTGCTGGATTTGCTAGGCTTTTTGTTGTTATTATTTTTTATATCTACTGTATATTTACAAGGTAGTTTGCTCTAGTTTTCTTGCATTTCTTTTTTTTTTTGGCGGGGGGGGGTGTACTGGGGCTTGATCTCAGGGCCTTGCGCTTGGCAGGCTACCACTTGAGCCACTCCCCACCCTTTGTATCTCTTTCTGGGTTTGGTGACAGGATAATATTGGCATTTACTTCGTAGAATGAGTGGGTTCATGTTTCCTCCTATAATATTTTTTTGGAAGATTATATGAAGAAATTATCTATATTCTTCTTTAAACCTTTGGCAAAATTACTGATGAAGTCATGGACTTTTCTTTATAGAAATTTTATAGACTGATAAATTAATCTGTTTTTATAGGTCTTTAGATTTTTTGTCCTCTGGAGTCAGGTTTGGTTGTTTGTGTCTTTCTAGGAATGAACATTTCATATGATAACTAATTAGCACACAATTTTCAATATTCCCTTGTAATTCTTTTTGTCCCTGCATAGTTGGTAATGACATCCCCCTCTCATTCCTAATCATATTTATTTGTGTTTTCTCTCTTTCTGTCTTAAGTCTAGCTATAGGCTTGTTCATTTTTTGGCTTACTTCAAAGAACCAGATTTTTTTCCCCTTGAT